AGTACACCATCGATATAGTTTTATCCAGGTTCCTTACTTCTTATTTCCAACTTTATCAATTAGAAAGCCAGCCCCTACCACAACAACAGCATTTCTGCAGTGTAACAAATGAAAGAAACAGTCAGAGTATAAGTATACAGTATTTATAGAAAATTGTCTAAAATTCATGAGGCCTGATAGTTGAGCATTGCATAGAACAAAATAATGTGAAAAGTTTCCATTAGTACATGTACTATACATGGACTTGTATTCAATACATTCAATGCCGTAGATATATGCAATACTGGATGGTGGAGAGATGGACTCACCGTTACTTGGAAGATAGTTGCCATTCATGAATATGTATATAAAACCAAAGCTACACATCACAACGCAATCTACATGTCCTTTTCATTTTGCTGAAACCTTTTTGTTAACAATATAATTTACATCATTTCTAAGTTACCAGTATTCCGTTGTAATTGTTTCTCAAAAATGTGTTTGTAATATTTGTTTGCAATGTAAGTTGAGCAAACCAAATTGTTACTACTTTTCAGAAAAAATAAGAAAACATGTTGTTAAAATCATTTTTTCAGACTGCTGAGTACTGGTCAAACATACTGGTCAAACGTACTGGTCAAACATACTGGTCAAACATACCAAAGGAATATGTGAAATGACAGGCAATATGCATCAATGTTTTCAACTTACGTCCATGCATAGATGGCATATAATAAATTATATTCATTTGCAGTCATTCCAAGACCTCCATCTGTACAGTTGTAACTATGGTTACCAATGTGCGTGTTATTTGGACAGGTCACATTCTATGAGAATTAGAGAAATAAATTAAATTTGTGACTAACTTTTGTGAGAAAACATATCACTTTCAAACAGTAATTGATATCTTGAGATATAAATTATAATATTATATATTATTATATATATATATATATCATATTATATAATTAATTAAACTATTTAGTTTTTGATGATTTTATAGTATTCGTAATCAAAACATACCAGTAAAAACCAAGAAAATATTCACTGACACGCGATGTTTTAATAATTTTTTTCATAAATGGCATAAATGCATTATTATAAAAAATTGAATTCATTTGTGTGTAAAAACAGCATGGACATGTAGGAAAATGTCCTACTTATTTAGAAAATGTGCATCATATTTACGTGGCATTTGAATATGTTTATTTGTTTACATTGTACACAACTGTGTAGCATATGACTGAAATAGAATCATGCCACAGAAAGTTAACGATCACACAAACACAAATACTTTTTGCTGTCACTGTTTGGGCTTTTATGTACATTATTACTACAAGTATAAAAAGATGTATACATGTAAATCAATAAGGCTGTCATGAGAATATCACGAAGTATGCATTCAGTACAGGAACACATCAACCGATGTTACGACAGATGCTATGATAGATACATGTATCGTCACTGTATTGCCTCTGTGCATACTTTGTGTTATTCTCGCAATAACCTCATCATACCATATCATATCAGTATTTTGATGATGGGCACAAGGCAGGAATTCAACATATGACATAGAGGACAGTATTTTGATATAGGACTGAGGGCAGTATTTTGATATAGGACAGAGGGCAGTATTTTGATATAGGACAGAGGGCAGTATTTTGATATAGGACAGAGGGCAGTATTTTGATATAGGACAGAGGGCAGTATTTTGATATAGGACAGAGGGCAGGAATTTAACAAATGACAGGACAGTATTTTGACATAGGACAGGGGGCAGGAATTCAACAAATGATAGAGAACAGTATTTTGATACAGGGCAGAAGGCAGTATTTTGATATAGGACTGAGAGCAGTATTTTGATATAGGACAGGACAATATTTTGATATAGGGCAGAGGGCAGTATTTTGATATAGGACAGAGGGCAGTATTTTGATATAGGGCAGATGGCAGTATTT